CATGGCCTAGTTTGAAATCTGAATCCTGACGCGATGGTGTTCCGCTTCACAAACGACCAAGACAAGGTGCTCATGCGTGAGCTTCTCCGTCTCAACCCCTTTTCTGCTGTGCGTGGGTCCCCACCAAACATGTGGAGTGATGTGGCTGGATCGCTTTCATCTGCAACAGGCGTACAGATCAATGTGAAGCAGATCCGTGATCGGCTTACTCTTTGAAAGGGATGTACAAGAACGCTGAAGCTGCTGCCGCTCGTGGAAGTGGCATTGAGGAGTCAGTCGATGCAGTGAATGTTCAAAGCCATTACGACGAGCGCGAGAGACTAGCGGTGAATACGTAGCCCAAGAAGACGCCTTCAAGGCGAAAAAATGGCTAATGTGACAGGCCAGGTATTTATCTGTCACTAGCTTAAACTTTAGGTAGGAGGAAGCTCGCAGTTATCAGAAAGATTCGACTCTGGCATTATTTTAGACCAGGGTGACAGCCCTGGCCGCTCAAATACATGGCATCAGTTATTTTGGCTAATAATGGGTCTGACCACCATATATCGGCCAATAAGATGATAACAATTCATCATACGAGTAGCGTGTGCTGATGCACCTACTTTTGTAAAACAATCGACCTACTTATGTAATGGAGGGGCCCATTACATTACCCCCTCTTAAAGTTGCACATACGCAACTCAAGCGACGGCGCAGAACAAATCAATCAACGCGGGAATGGAGAACGGGAACTCGGCTAACGAGCGGAACGAGGCGGGGACGGCGACATCTCCTGCGAAACGCAGGAGCGACGCAACTCGACTGGCGCAGTACTGGACAGGCGACACGATGGCACAGCAGCAGGAGGAAACATCGACAACGTCGCCGTCGTCGACAAGTGGCACGCGGTAAGCGCGTGATGGATGAGCAGTTCCGGCCTTGGGCGCTCTACGACTTATCCGGAGCGCAGGCTCTGGAAACGCTGGACACGATCTCGATCACGCTCACGTGGTCGCTCAAGTCGTCGATCTCGATCGCACTCGCCGCGTGCTGATTTGCCGCGTTGTTTGCCGCAAGAAGCTTGGCCTTGTATGCCTGGACCACATTCGGGATATCGCGGAGAAGGTTGGCGCGAGGCTCCCATGTATCTTCGTCAGGAGGGAAACCAAGCTATCGTACCTTATAGCGACGTGGAGGCCGCGACTTGGATCCTCGTGGTCGCCAATACGGTCTACAATCCACCAGCGTCAACAAAACCAGGCGGTGGGCCATCGCGCTGGTAATGATCGCGTACTGGTTGGCCAGAACGAAGACGACTTGCTGAATCGCTATTGGGATGCACAACAGGAGTTGGACGATGTTCTGGAACAGGCCGCCCGGTCTGCTGGGGAGACGGAGCGAATTCAACAGTCGAACCAGGAGATCCTCGCTCGGGTGCAGATGTTGGAGCGCTCAGTTCATGGTTGTCTGCAGACGGGCGCACAGCCCCGCGATCCGACGCCGGGTGCGGACGGGTTGATGACTTGCCGTATGCGTCGGGAGGGTCGCTCGACGTATACTCCAGCTCAGGAGGCTGAGCCGACTCTGGAATCGTAGCTGGATGGTATCTCTTCAGTCGTCCGACGTTGAACGTAGGATGCAATCGTAGCGAAGTAGGAATGTCAAGCGTGTAGGCATCACCAATGACCTTGAGTACCGTAAGCGGCTCAATAAAACGCGGTGCGAGTTTAGTCGCGGCGAGATTAGTTACAGCAGCGTTCCGAATACCGTCAGTTGACAGGAGTACTCGCTCTCCTGTCGTGAAAGAGACCATGTGTTTGCGGCCGCGCTTGTCCGCATGTTCATTCGGCTTATCGACCGCCACTTGTAGCGCGTCACGTACATAGCGGATGACCACTTGGTGTTGCAGCACGAAGTCGGAGACAGCTGCAGAGTCGGAGGCTCGCGCCGCTTGTCTTAACGCGTAGTTGGCAGGCGGGGATACATGCGATTGGGCACCAGGGTTTATCAGGTTGCGATCAGTCCAGGATACGAGAGAAGACGCCGCGCCGCGCGGCTTCGACAAAATCTTCTTCGCCTGTGAACGCGTCACCGCGTTAACCGACACGTCGTTAGAGGATACACTCGATAGATTCTTGGCAACCGGTAGGAATACCGGTTGACTCAGAATCTGTTGAGATACCGGTTTGCTCAGCACCGATGTCGCCGTCGGTGATGTCGGGGATGTAAACTTGGCTTCTTCCCGACCCAGACATACGGCGCCATGGGATGGCCCACAGCGAGGAGAGCTGGAACTCATGGGTGACGCGCGTTGTTAACGAAGAAGGGAGTTAGACTGGTCGACGCGTGTACCGCGTTGTTTATCGCAAACTCTGCCAGAGGCAAGAACGAGCTCCAACTGGAGAAGGAGTCGCGTAGCTTCGAAGAACATCTTCGAGGACGCGGTTCACACGTTCGGTCTGACCATATGTTTTCGGATGGCTGCTGTCGACATCATGAACTTTGTACCCAACAGCTCGAAGAGGTTCGACCAAAAGGCCGACTTGAAGTGCGGGTCGCGGTCAGAGACGATGGTTTCGGGAAGGCCATGATGACGGAAGACAGCATCAATAAAATGCGCCGCGATGTCGTCCGCGGTGATCTTGTCCGACAGCGGAATGAGATGAACCATTTTGCCGAAGCGACCAACGAACACCAAGACACCTGAGCAACCTTGGGCATCAGGAGGAAGGCCGAAGATGAAGTCCATCGACACCGAGCGCCAGGCCTCGGTGGCCACCGGGAGAGGACGGAGCGGAGCCTGTGTCGACGAAGACGGCTTCAGGCGTTGGAAGATCTCACATGTGCGCATACCCATTTGTACAGGTGGGTCCAATAAAAATCGCGTGACACGGCCGCGAACGTTTTCTCGCGGCCCAGGTGACCGCCGAGCGGGGCATCATGAAACTCATGGATGATCCGTAGGCGCAGGTCGGAGTCGTTGGGAACCACATTACGAGGAGCATCGAAGTTGTCGATGCTATACGTGAATAGATCGTCCTCAAAACCCGGTCGATGCGGGTCCGGATGGATCGCAAGAGAGCTCTCAGCATATCGTCGCTGGGAGAGCGGAGATGCTCCAGGATAGTGGAGTAGGTCGGATCGTGGCGCACACATAGGTACGGAGTACCCGAAGAGTTAACAGACTCTCAGTACATGACTCGTAGAGTTAACAGTGGCCTCAGTACATAGGCTGAGG